CTAACTAATGAACAAAAAATGTAGGCTTTGAACCCACCTACAATCGTTTTGATCACACTACGATGCATTTTTGGTATACCATTTCAACTAGAAAGGTAGCAGAAATAAGTTTGGGGAGAATTTTTAATCTTTTGGGTAGTAAATAGTTCAAATGTATCTTAAAGGAGGATAAAAGAGAAAAAAAATAGTTCTTCATGGACAAAAAATAAATAAATCCTGATTTGCCCTATTGGTTTCCCAGACAGTTGGAGCAGTGGCTAGAAAGCTGGACCTGGAATCAAGAAGACCTCAGTTTATATATGGGTGTGTGACCTTTGGCAAGTCACTTAAAGTTTGCCTCCATTTCCTAAACTATAAAATTGGGATAAAAATAGTATCTACTTTGCAAGATTGTTGTGAGAATCAAATGAAATGATATTTATAAGGTGCTTAGCACAATGCCTGGCACATTGTAGGCACTAACTATATAAATGCTTATTCCGTTCTACCCTTCCTTGACCAAAAGCAGACAATCGTCTTAAACTTGTCTTATGGGTTGTTAAACACATACATTAAAACAACTGTCAAGTTGCTTGGAAGAGAATATTAGTTTTCATTTTTCTGAACTAATAAAGGAGAGTAGATATAACAATCATAGATGATAACGGCAATAGTAATAATAAACCTACATTGGATTTTAGTTGCATTTTTGAATGAACATGAATGTCTCTAATATTCTGGAAATTCATACCACTGCCTCTTTAGAAATGCAGCCCTACAAAGAACTAGCCTGGGAAAAACAATTAAAGTGCCTAACATTCATTTTGCTCCTCTGCTCAAGCTTTCCCTATTTTCTATCTCCCTCCTGACGGTGTGAACAGCATCATTTCTTAAACTCTCAGAGCTCTTGATTGTTCTAAATTAATTGTCTGATCCACATTTTCCCTAGAGGAGGGGGTTAAACAAGTATAGAAATTATGTTGCTCAAAAGTCCTTTCCTTCTGGCTATGCTAGACTCCGGGGAATAGGTGAACGACTTATGCTTTTGTCTCAAGGAATAAATTCCAAAGTTCAGCTCTAAATGTTTGATTCTAAAGTCCAACGGGACTTTAGGCTTCCTACAGAATAAGTCCATGACACATAGAAACTTTTGAGAATAAACTGTAAGTGGCCTGTAATTGCCTCAATTACCCAATTTTCCTTTGTGTGCATGAACATAAATGTAATCTGTATTATCTCTTGAAAAACTGAAATAATTCAGCAGGAAAAACATGGATTGCTTGGGATATTTGATTCAAGATACGGCTAAGGTGCCACCTCCCTCATGAGACCTTTCCTAATTCTTTTGTGTTGAACACTTTCTCCCTCTTGAAATAATTGGGTTATTTTGTATCTCCTCTGTCATTACTTATCTACGGAAATGTTGGGTGGCCCTATTAGAATGGAAGCATATCGAGGTCAGTCAGGGATGCTTTCCTTTTTGTCTTTATATCCTCACCTAGTACATTGCCTCATCTTAGAAATCACATAGTTCAACCTCTATATTTCAAAGTTAAAGACATATAATCAATCTGGTTAACATTAATCTATTTTAATTATGAGTCTCTGTCATTGCATTTTAGAAAGACTTTGCATTTTTTTTTATTCTTACATTTGTCTGATTTCAGGAATAAACAAAAGGGAATTCTTTTAGGTTATTTAGAAAGAATTATTTTTACAGAATTAGAGAATTTTAGTGCTGGAAGGGGCCCTAAAGATCAGTTAGTACAATACCCTCATTTTAAAGACAAGGAAATTTCATCCCCAAAAGACCAAGCAATTTGCCCAAGGTCACAAGACCATTGAATTGGCAGAACTAGGATTAAAACCAGCCAGATCTCTTGACTTTTGGGTCAGTATTCTTTCCATTACACTGTACAGATGATTTATATCATAAGAAGCTACTAGGTTTAAAAGTTGGAGGTATGTCTAAAGACCATTTATACTAATGCTGAATTAATATACTAATGCTGAATTAAGTTTTAAACTGCTCTCTCCCTTTCACAAAAAGAAAAGAAAATTATACCTATTTAAAACAAGATGTCTGGAGTTCAGGTAATCTTGAATAACAGAATATGAATTTATGTAGAAGTGATTACAGTATTGGTATTAGGCTTAGAAATATTTACTCAAATACATTTTAAGGGGTTAATATCTAAAATAAACAAAATGGATATCATCTTGTAGGACCATATCTATCAAGTAACATAACATTAATTCTTTTGAATAAATGTTACTGCTTATAGATGAAAAACTAGAACCTCTTGAAGAAAGTCAGGTTTTATAGTTTCCTATCAGGTTCTTTACTATCTTCCTTTTATGTCTTTTAATACTCAGTATTTTTGGTTTCCTGAGTTATTTCTGTGTTCTCTGAAACCTACTTTAATGTAATCCATTGACTTATTTGGCATCTAATAGTGAGAGTACAGTTGATGAACTCAACTTGGCTAGAGAGTAGCTGAAAGCTCTAGCTGATGATTTTTGCTTTAAGCCTTCAGGCCAGGGGAGGATTTATGAACCATTTTTTGTCTTTTTCAAGAGCAAATGTCACACTTGTCCTCAAATCAGATAGTACAACACAGATACTGAGATATATTACGGCTCTTATTTGCTAGAGATATGATGCTTTCTTTTATTTCCTTGTTGTTTGAAAAGATTTTTTAGGGGAAACCTTCTGATTTATCTTTAGAACCTTACAAACTCAATGATAGTCTAAATGAATTTTACTTTGTGAATGTGGGGGAAAAAACCTTGGCAAAAACTTACTTGAAACTTTTCTGTGGGGGAAAATAGATAAGCTATTAGAACCAAAAGGAACTTTTGCAACTACTTAGTCTAGCCCATTGTAGTTTACAAAGTAGAAAACAGAGTCCTAGAGATGTATCATGATGACTAAGGTCACACAGCTACTTAAGAAAAGAGATAGAACCAGAACTCTAGTCTTCAAACACTTAATTCAGTGTTTTAGGTAGCAAGGACACCAAAGTTCTATTTCTTCTTTAGATATCTTGTAGAAATATATCCTGTTTTGTACCACAAGGGTATTCATTTGCTTATTTAGTTTCTTTTGTGATTACTATTTCATTTCCCTTATATTCTGGTGGCTAAAAGTCATCTTATACATTTAAAATAAAATATATTTTAAGGTTCATGTTCTTTTTTCCCCTTAAAAACAGGGTTATGAAGTTGGTGGGTCAGAGGATGCTATAAATATAACTTATCTAGATTTTAGCACAGTGTTTGACACCCTGTTTCATGGTATTATTCTAGAAAAGATAGAAATATGTAAACTAGAAGATAGTCTAGTTAGGAGGATTTGAAATTGGTTGAATGACCCTCCCAAATCAATCAATAAGTATTTATTAAGCTACAATGTACCGGATGTGTCACCTTGAAAAGAGGACTCTGCAGTGTTCTAGGGAACTGAGCTTGACTCTGTGCTGTTTAAGGTTTTTATCAATGACTTGGATAAAGATAGCATGCTCATCCAGTTGGATAGTTAACATACTAGATAATGGAGTCATGTTGCAAAAAGACTTTTGACAGGATAATAACAGTACTTAGAACATAGTAAGTGCTTAATAAATACTTGTTGACTGATGGAATACTGGACCAAATTTAATAAGATAAAAAGTAACATGTATTATTTGGATATTAAAAAAAAAAATCAACATCACCAGTACAAGGTAGGGGGAGGTATGGCTAAACAATGGTTTGTCTGAAAATAAAACCTGGGCATTTGGGAAGACTGCAGTCTCAATGTGAGTCAGTACTCTGATATGTCAGGTAAGTAATTTAATGCAGTCAGATTGTATTAAGATAGGCAGAGTATCAGAGATTTTATTGATGGAGGTGACATTTACAATGTACTCTGCCCTGATTGGACCACATTTGGACTACTGTTTCCAGTTCAGGGTTCCGCCTTTTAGGAAAAAAACATTAGTAAGTTGAAAAATGTCTGGAGGAAGGTAATTAAGATTATGAAGGGCTTGAAGATCACTTCATAAACGGATTAGATGATGGAATTGGGAGAAGGACAAACTTAGGGGTGACATGATAGTTGTCTTTATGTATTTTAAGGTCTTTCATATGGAAAGTGAATTACACTCACTTTATTTGGTTCCAAAAGGCAGAACTAGGAGAAATGTGTCAAAGTTGCTAAAAAAAGCAATTTTAGGTTTAGCATAATTGAAAAACTGCCTAACGATAATTATCCAAAAGGAGAATGGACCACCTCAGGAGAGGTTCACCTTCATTGGAGGTATTCTGTAAGGACTGGACCACCACTTATTTGCTAAGTCATAGAGGAGATTTTTGTTCAGGTATGGATTCATATAAACAGTTTTTGAGGTTTCTTCCAACTCTGAAATTCTATGATTTTGTGAAGTAGCTAAAGAAAACAATAGTACCAATAAAACTATTGTTGGATAACATAATGGCACCTGTTACATTCTGAATGAGAGACAACAGATAAGTGGGACACTGGCACTCCTAAGATGCTGAGAGAACAAAAAACATTTTCAAGTATGTTGAATAAATTCTTTTTGGAGGAATTGTGGGTAAATATGGACAAACACTACATAGTTTGAAGTTTGAAAAGGTTATATTCTCATTAGTTGAGAATGTATTTATATTGGTAAATCCTGGTTCCACCTGGTTCCACCAGAATACAAAACATGTCAGAGAGAAAGCCCCTAGCTGCTTAGAGTAGAAATAAAACTAATAACTGATCATTTAAAAAAGGTGTGTGCTTTAATGGGGAACAATTCAAATTCCAAGTCTTTCCCATTAGGTAGGTATCCAAACTCTTGTTTTACAGCAAAGAAACTAGAAGTCATTGGAGGAATGGTGTTGAAACACTTGGCAAATGAGTTGTAATATCTAAAAAAGGCCTCAAGTAATCAAGAACATTATGACTAATGTAGAAGGAAACAAAAAAAAAACCCATTCCTTTTCTGTTAATAAAGAATACAGTTACTGACCTTGTAATGCAGAGGACTACAACACAAATGATGGCAATCTGGATGGTTCCAATCACAGCTGCTATTAAGACATACTGAAATCGTACAGGACCAGGAACAACGTATAAAACACTGTAGTCCTTTTTTTCACAGTGTTGTCCAGTATAGCCCGCATCACACCTAGAATGAAATATGCTGCCCAGTTAACTATGGCTGCTGAGTCAGGGTTGTTTTGTTTTCTTTTGGGTATCCTTATCTCATTCAGGCTGGAAATGCAGTGACCACTTATGGGCCCTATCCCAATGCTGATCTAGAAGCTTTGACCCACTCTATTTTTTCCAACCTGGGCCAGCTCACCTCTCTTTAGGCAGTCTGGTGGCCCTCTGCTCCCAGTGGCTTACCATATGGGTAAAAGATGCCTGATCAGATTAAGCCACTACAAATGAGAATGCCTGAGCTCAAGCGATTCGCTAGTCTTGGCCTCCCCAGCTGTAGAAACTACCAGCACACATGTGCCAACAGCATGAATATAAGGTCTCATTATACTTTATATAAGAGTACTTGGTAAACATGGAGCTCAATTGTTTATTTTGCAGATGGTTTAAAATTTTTTTGTTTGTTTCTGGAGGCGGAAGGTCAATTT